CTATTAACACCAACACCTTTTCCCATGTTTTGGCTTGTTAACAATGTTGCATTAAAGTGTTTCTATGTTTCATTCATGCTCTAAAATGCTACTACAGGTAATCCTCCGGTTACAACAGCAGTTGGGACCAGGAACTATATCACTAAGCAACGTGGTCATAAACTGTGATGTCACATGACTGCATCACTTAGCAACAGCAATTCCAGCAGGCCGTTGCCATCATTAAATGAGGACCAGGCAAGTTGTTAAGGGAGGACCTCACATGATTGCAATTTTTGAAATCATGATCACATTTCAGGTTGCAGGCGCACACACACACATGCAGACACAGTTGCTAAGGAGCTGAGATTTTACTACAGTTAAGCAGATAAGATCGTAAGTCAAGGACTTTGCAAAGAGTGTTTGCCTGAATAATTCCATTTCAAATCCAAGTAGCAAGAGAATGGTCTAAATATGTTCCAGGAGTCACAGAGACCTGAATCAGGTAGTCAGACAGCCCAAGAGTCAGGGATTCAAGAACAAGAGTGATGAGCTAGAATTCTGAATGGTTGATTCCAGCAAAGGGTGAGGGTAAATCGGCTACATAAATCTATCTGCAGACAGCTGGCTGCAATTGCTCAGGCTTCACCCTTTGCCTAGCAAGGAGCCTCGTTGAGTAGTGTTGCTCTGCTCACCACTGCATGCATCAAGACCTGGGGCTTGGAGGTTGTGCCTCATCATCCAGCTGATCAGGAGATACCTGTGGTTGATCAGCCTCAAATGAATCATGGCTTGATGATTCCTAAGGCTGACATTCCTGAGGCTGAAGAAACTTCATCAGAGTCAGAATCAGATTCTGAATCGTGGCTCATGACAGTGGGGATGCTGTGACAGCTGGAACTCTGAGGATCCATTGTAAGTCCCCTCATTCAGTGCCATTATAGCTTTGAACAGTCACTGAATGAATGGTCGTAACCCAAGGACTACCTGTGCACTGTTTTTGTTAAGGTGTATTGAATGGTATCCTATCCTAAAGTGGTGAATCTAAGATCCAGATTCAGGTGCTTATTGGAATATACATTTGGAGTTTATGCAGTTGAATCTACCGTTACTAGGGCAGTGTTTTTCAACCTTGTCAGTTTTAAGATGTGTGGACTTCAACTTCCAGAATTATTGACTATATTTAACAACAACAACAAAAATCCCCCAAATCAAGGTTCGAAGTGTCACTAATGTTTGCAAAGGCAACTTCTGGTGAAAGTTGAAAATCCTGGTGGGGAGTGTGTTATAAATGTTTTAATTGTTTGTACTTCAGTTGTCAGTAGTACATACCAAATTCTTTGCTATTCAGGTGCACTGAATGGCAAGGAAGTTGCAAATTATCTCACTGAAGAAAATATT